ACAAGGGCATATTTCATTGCCAGGAGCTCATTGTCATGGACAGAGTAGTTCCGCTCGGCGGCTTTGAGCTGCCGGGACTGGAGCGAGATGACTCGTTCCTGTCCAGCCGTGTCGTCCTGCAGCAATGCACACCCGATGGCGTAATCGGAGGCATCGCAGACGACGCTAAACGGCTTCGTCTCGTCCGGCAGAGCCAGGATAGGGGCATCTTGGAGACTGGCCTTGATGCTGTCAAAAGCATCCTGGTGCTCTTGTTCCCAGCGCCAGTCGACGTCCTTCTGAAGGAGGCTCGACAAGGGCTTAGCGAAGCCCGCGTACCCAGCGCTGTACTTGTGAAGGTAGTTGGCCAAGCCCAACCACTTTCGAAGATCCTTCTGGGATCGGGGCGTCGGCCATGCTGCTATGGCCTTGACCTTGTCTGGGTCAGCCCGAACGCCCACGTTGCTGACGAAGCAACCGAGAACTTTAATCTCTGGTGACGCGAAAACGCACTTGTCGATGTTGGCGTAGAGCTTGTTCGCTCGCATCACGTCCAACACTCGACGGAGGTGCCCCAAATACACCTCCATGGCCGTATTGCCTCCCTCGGCACGGCTATGGACGAAAATGTCGTCGAAGTACGTCTGTACGAAGGTACGCAAAGGGCGGAACAATTGCGTCACCAGGCGATTGAACGTCGCCGGGGCGTTAGACAAGCCCTGCGGCATGACGAGCCACTCCCAAAGCATGCCGCTTGGAGTGCTTACCGCGGTGAGCGGGATGTCACGCTCTCGCATCAGGATTTGGTAGTATCCGTCTACCAAATCCAGCGCACTGTACAGTACGCTCCCGGCCATGTTGTTCAACAACACATCCTTTCGTGGGATCGGTGTTTGGGCCGGCACCGTTGCGTTGTTCAGCTTGTTATAAGCGTGAACCAGACGCCACTTTCCGTTCGGCTTCCGAACGCAGAAAGTCGGCGTCGAGTGCGGGGATTTCGATTCCCGCACCATGCCTGCCTTCGCTTTCGCGGCGAAGAAGGCATCAATGACCTCGCACTGTTCGCGCGGGAGAGGCCATTGCCTCGTGACACAATACTTTGTGCCGGGCACGAGATCAATCTCGTGCCCGTACGGCTCGATCCGGTGGGAGTTGGGTCGGGTGGGGGGTGTTTGTTTC